ACACACACACACACACACAAACACACAGAGTTAATCAAGCAGCTGATTCTACAGATAGTTCATGTGGTTTGATTGCTGATTGCTCTGCAGACTGCAACACCTCCTCTTCAGTGACAACCCAACATGGACAGTTCAGACTTCTGCACAGATTGGAATCAAACCAGTGTACAATGTTGTCACATTTATAATGTGAATAAACAAATGGTAATTTCGACGACACACACATTTGAAATAAGTGAGAGTCAAGATGTGGTAAACAGGCCTCTCTTTCCAAGCACCTCAGAGAACCTATAATGGCCTCCGTCTAATGTGAGAACAGTGCTCTCTCTGTGTTTTGTTTGTCCATTCTAGGCCACTGTAGAAACATGGATATGTGATAAGACAAAACAATACAATAGGACGTCTGCTTTGGAGAATGCGGTCGACGCGGCCTATGAAAGCCGGATAGCGAAGATATCGTTACCGGGATAAAAACGTTCTGGTCTCTGGAAGATTCCCGTGATTTGTGCTTGTCCTGCCCTTACCACTGTCGCCTAGCAACAGAGCTGATGTTAACCATGAGAAACTTTTTTTTAGCATGTCTACCATTAGCTGTTCGGTTCAGTTGAAGCAGTTGAGGTTGCTTATCGTTTTGGTCTCATCACTTGTCGCTGCCATTATCTCTTTTCAGAACCATCATCACCAAAGAACAATAATCGGGGAATAGGCCTGAGGAGGATCCACCTGTCGGGGCCTTCGTTGCTGCAGGGCTGAAATGAGCCTGTTAATTGGAACATCTTAGTCACATCGCTGTGACGTAATCAAGTCTTCAAATGCAGCCTTATGATTCTTATTTAGGCGATTACATACTGGTGAAAACATATTTGAATTAATATTACAATTCCGCTTCTGCCTATAGAATCCACCATAATCCTCCACATTGGCCCTTTGACTTCCGCTTTAGCTGCAGATTCCACATCGTGTAATAACGTCGCTCGATATCTATGTGTTTGTGTAGCAGTAGTATAAGTTATTCTGTCTGAATGAGCCAATAAACTTACCAACAAATGAAAGCTGGACATTGTGTCACTGCTGCTCCAGGGTTCGTTTCCTTATTGTTTCTCTTACTTGCTCTGCACTGCACCAACCTGTGTGTGTGTGTGTGTGTGTGTGTG